TATATTCTCCTCACAATCCAATTGCAAAGCATATTGGTAAGAAGGATTCTCGGCGATCTTGTCTTGAAAATACTTCAACATGCTTCCTGCCTGTCCATATGCCAACTCTCTCTGGCGCCTACCCTGCAAGTGATTTTTTAGATCACGAGGAGTGTAGGTGAGATTCATTGGTCCTCCAACTCGACGACTAGCTAGCTCATGTGAAGCTTTTGGCCTAATTCCAGAATCATCGGCTATCGCAATTTCAAAAGCTTGAACTTCTGAAATCTTCCTTTGTGATAACATCAAATGGAATGTTTGTGGCAAGTAAAGACCATGATTGTGTACAAGCATTACATCAACCACTTCATAATTCCCTGCCACTCGATCCAATGAAAGTGTCATCCGAACTTCACAATTTGTTCTTGTTTGAGCTTGAGGATTCTTTGTGATATGATCCCTCTTGTTGTGTGCTCGAAAACCCTCCTTGGCACACACATATCTACATGATGTTGCTTTCCCGTCAAATTTACTCATATTTTTATACCTTTTTCTGACCTCAAAACCCGCACGACCTCCATAATTTACCCAGAACAACCAAGCATTATCTAAGTTTCTGAATTTCAGACCAACTTGAGGTAACCAGATAGGATTCTCATTCTCCCTACACAAAAATTAATTAATCTTTGTTGCTACAGATCTGGTTGCAAGCAAATAATTTTTTTCCATGGAAAGTCTAACTTACTTGTTAGATTGTGCCATTGAATCTTAACTGGAAGGGAAGAACTCAGATGTATACTGCACATATTATGAACAAATAGACTGAATATTTCAGACAATTACAAGTGAAATTGTGCAGATTTCTTTAGCATAACTGAATGAATAAATCAAAATCATACTAGGCAGCGAAAGAGTGAATATTTCAGAGAAATAGCAATTCCAGGGCGGCTCGGACACAAACCTAAAATACTAGGCAGTCTCTGTTTCTTGAAATCGAAGATGGACACGAACCTGAAGCAGAGTGAAGTCGAGTAGCTTTGATCTGCTTCGACGCTCAACTAGGACGGCCCAGCCGGCGAGGCGTCCAGGCACCCCGACGAACGCCTAACTGAGATGAGATCCCGCGCTAGACGCCCGCGCCCCCGCCCCCGCCAAAAATCGCATCTGGCGGCTGCTCACCCGCCAAAATCCTCTCGCTTTCCCTCCTCCACGCTCCCCTCTAGCTGGGCCTTCTTTGGGTAAATACGGGCTGGCTTTGTTTCAGTTTGGGCTGGTTGATGTGCACATAGAGAGGCAGCTCGCTCAGCAGCCGTGCGATCAGAAAGGGGGGGCATCCGTGAGGGGTAAGGTAGAGGCAGCCTTTGCCATGCAAGGCAGAGAATCTGCGCCCGTCATGAACATGGGATACACCATGTGATGGGGGTAAAAAGATTCCAGCTCGCATGTGCTTCATAAAGATATGGAGATAATAAATCTTGATCCCTAGTCATGAAGACAACTTTATACGTTCTGTATCCTCCTTTCAACCTTCTTGACTTATGTAAATCCCCGTCCTTCTCATCCAATCTTGACAAAAAAATACCTACTATGTGAAACCAGAATTGTTGACTTATGAAAATCCTTGTGTCATTCTCCTGCAATCATGACAAGAAAAATACTTGCTATGTGAAATCAGAATTGAATGAATCAGTGTGAACAGAGAACTTGACAAACTTGGTTTGGCTACTGAATATGAGTAATATGCACTTCCACAAACCGCTCAATTAAGGTTGATTGGGCATGAGGATTTCTGGTGCCACTATAAATTCACGATGAAAAATACACACATGAAAGTACTGTTGGATGGAGAACAAATCGAATTTCAAAAAAGAATAGAAAATGTAGTAACAATGATCACTGAGGATTTCTGCTAAATTAATCTAGCATGTCATAGTATTCCAAAATTCAAAATGGACCTAATAACTATAAAGGGATGAGTCTGACTTAGAAATAAAATCTGGCATGACAAGATAGAAGTAAGTTGCACGAGATCCCGCGTATGATAATTAATAACATAAACCACCCAACGTTTGTTAGTGTTTGGTAACAAACAACAATTTGGGCACCCATTGTAAAGTAAACCCTGTGTTGTATCTTTTTTTTAGAACAAAGGCTCGAGAGAGAGCCCGACTTTGAATTAACAAAGCCATCAACCGGCCAGGAGTTACATCGGACAACACCTTACAAGAGGAAAAAGAAAAAGACGGCAGATACATGGTGCTACTAGACAACTTGCAAACCTCAACAACACCAAACACTACAACATAATGAACAACAAAGCTTCGCTTGATGTCGATGATGTCCCCAACCGCAGAATGAGCACCATAGGTGGAGCGGAAGCACTAACAAGATGAGACCCATCATAGGCAGGGAGCATGCCCTCATCTGCACCAGGAGTGGTGAGCTGCAACAACCTACCCAAAACCATCTCCGAAGAGGACCCCTGCCCCTCGTCCTGGCTCGAAGGACGCCGTTCCATCGGAAGATGGGGAAGCTCACCCTAGAGCCAGATAAGATGGCAGCCACGAACAACCTTGAGAGATACTCAGCCCCACCCCCAGCTGAGTCGAGCTCGCCTTGGAAGATCCTTGCCCACACACATAGAGCCACACACGAAGGGATGAAGCTATCAAGATCGAAGGTGCTGAGGAAGGAAGCGCAGAACGATAAAATCGGACCACGCGACCGTCGATCCCCCAATCCCCAAATCAGAACGCCCTGGCATCTCTCAAACCACCAGAGCGGCACCTCCAGGAAGGTGAGGGCGGAGAGCGCCGCTGCCGGCCCATCC